AGCAGCCCCGCCCCGGCAACACTTGCCGGCAGCCGTTGCCGGCACCCCATGGCCGTTCCCTCAGAGAGCACATTACGAAAGAGGTGCAGAGCCAGGCGAAGCGGTCGCTCGGAAGTGAGTCTCAACCACCAGTCGCCACTCCCGCTGAATCAAAGGGTTGAAACGCAGTTGAGTTGAAAACAGTAGGCAGTACATGTTCTAGAGCTAACCTAAATTTGCAGAAGCGCAACTATGCGGAAATCGAAATTTGAAGTTGCTTGCAAAGCATAACAGACCTTGTTTGTCCATGATTATTCTGCCACCATCGTTTTATCCGCTCGCGCCACATATCAGCACTCATATCGTACTGTTCTATCACACTCTTCGGTAGTAATTTATCCAAGTCTAACGGTTCCGTTTCATCTGTGCAATCCCCATTCTGTTAAAAAAAATTATAAGAATTGTCATTCTCATCTAAATTTTCCTTACAATAGCTTGTACAGCAAAACTAGCAAGAAGCACAGATGCTTCCGGGGAACAATACAGATCCATGGAAAGGATGGCTTGTTTTATTTGCAGGAAGAATAGATGTCTCGTGAGATCCTGCAAAATTAAGACTCCATGCGAATGTATTCTTCTAACTGTGTAAAAAGTGAAGGACTATACATATGAATCCGAAATTACCTGAATGAGTTCATCCTCAACATCTTCTGGATAGAATTTTACTAAGAACAAAAACTGCATACAACCGTCCTCACCTCTAGGCACATCTTGCTTACGTATCTAGAAATGTAAAAGATGAACAATCTACTCTCATGAGCTGCAAGCAGAACTCGACTTTTATGCACAAAAAACCACTAGACCATAAGCTGCTACAAGCACCTCTTTGTCCATCTGTAACCAGCATGGTAATCCTTTTTTATTAGTAAACTGCAAGCCGAAAAACCAGACTTCCCGGAGACCGATGATACGACATACGGCATCGAATAGGTGACGACCTGTCCAGCTTGTCTAAAGTATATGAATTGTCTAGAGTGTATACAGCATTGTTTCCAAGTCCATAACCGGACGCGAAGCATTCTGACATCATACTGAATATTGTCGAAACTGGTGTACAATCTGTGAGTTTGAATAACTAGTCCAACTATTTTTGCATAAGCTTTTTTCGATTTCCTACCAGAGGCTTCTACTTATACCGCTTTGCGAGCGCAGAAATCTTGAAATCTTTCCTCTCAGACGAGAGATGAGAAGCATCGAGCTCGGACGCGTGTACGCCACGCAGGTATAAGCCGTTGCATGACATGGCATAATATGTA